TCATCCTGGGCTTTGCCATTTAACACCCTCCCCCTGCTTTGGTTCCAAAATCAGCTGAATGTTGTGTTCTAGTCAGGGATGCAGGTTTTACTGTGCAGCATTTGAACTAAATACTGTGGTGGAAGTTACAAAGATACAGTTACTTGTAATTCAGCTGAATAAAAAATTGAAAGAAATATTATTCTAAACGACATTTTCAGGGGAGAATGGAAGTTTTAGGCGAATTGTTTGTGCAGGCAAAGTATTTTGCTTTTCTAAGAAATGCGTGCAACAGCTTCTCCTATTTCACTCATATTTTGCATTTGTAATCTATGTAAACACTAAACTGATTTTGCAACTAATTATTCGTTATCAAACACAGCCAAAAATGTTTTCTGTTTTAATAACTACTAAATTGAAGTTGGTCAGGTATGTTGGCTATAGTATGTAATAACACCAGCAAACTCCTCCCACCCCATTAAGGATATTATTTAAAGAAACCAACCCAAAACAACCCCCTCATGCTTATTGGTAATAGTGTTCAAAGTACGTTTTTCAGGTCACATCTATGATTGTTGTTGTACAGAATTTATATGCTTGTTAAAAACAAATTTGACCCATTATGTTCAAATTAATATTTCCTTCCTGATTGCTGAAGAAATGTTGTTAATCAAGGAAACTGTATTATATAAAAGATATATAAATACCATTTTAAAACACAAAGGATTAATTTAAAAATCAGTTTCACTTTGTGGTGTACTTGCACTGGGATTTGCTAACACAGAATACCTGTGGTTCCTGTTCCTCGTGCCTTGTTTACAATCTTTGCTCAGCTCACAGAGGAGGGATAGAAATGCTTCTGGTGGACTCAGTGCTTTTATTCCAAATCTTTGCATAAATAAAGAGGAACTGATTCTTAACAATTTTCAAAATGAGTTTCTCATTTCAGTTTTAACAACTTTAAAAGTGAAAGAAAATGTTGGGAATTTCTATGAAGAGTTGGTTTCCTAGAAAGTTGAAGGAAATCCTTGTGTTAAAAAAAGAAAACTCCAAGCAAGCAAAAAAGGTCTCTAGATTTAATCATATAAAATATTTTGCTTTCATTGTTTTTCCCAAATGTTTAAAGTCCTTCTGTACTGAGTAGGACTGTGCTACCAGTTATTTGATTCACAGGAGCAAATTCCGTTCAGGGTAAAGAAAATGGAAAAGCGTCTTTTGGCTATCTGCTTCTAGAGACAAGAATATAAAAACTGCTCTCTTCAGGATCTGTGCTCAAACTCTTATGTTTGTCTGGCAGCAAACTCACAGTTTTTGCAGCTTTCTGTTTACTTTGTGAATATTTTTTTTCATTCTCTTCACCTGTCCTGTTTCTGACAAGCTTTATAGCAGCAGCCTTTGGTGTTAGTTGCTCCAGTAAATATTTGGACACTGTGAGTCTATTACACATTTTTACTCTATTTTGTGAATCAGTGACTTGTGGAAGGCACTGGAGTGATCCCACTGCCCCCGGAGCAGGGAAGGCACAGCACAGGTACCTGCTGCTCCAGAGAGGGATTGCTGATTTCATGTCCCCTACACGGAATTATTGTAATCCCTGTCAAAGTCACCACTTTCAGATTAGTCTGTGGTTATTGTTGAGGGCATAATCTGAACCTCAGGAAGAGCAACGAGGCTGGTGAAGGGACTTGAGCACAAGTCCTATGAGGAGAGGCTGAGGGAGCTGGGGTTGTTTAGTCTGGAGAAGAGAAGGCTTAGAGGCGACCTCATCACTCTCTTCAACTACCTGAAGGGAGGTTATAGCCAGGCGGGGGTTGGTCTCTTCTCCCGGGCAACCAACAATAGGACAAGGGGACATGGGCTCAAGCTCTGCCAGGGGAGGTTTAGGTTAGATGTTAGGAAGAAATTCTTTACAGAGAGGGTTATCAGGCATTGGAACGGCCTACCCAGAGAGGTGGTGGATTCACCATCCCTGGAGGTTTTTAAAAAGAGATTGGACGTGGCCCTTAGTGCCATGATATAGTAATTGGAGTTGGATCAGGGGTTGGACTTGATGATCTTGGAGGTCTCTTCCAACCCTACCTATTCTATGATTCTATGATGGTACAGGAAAGGGAGTAACTATGGATTTGCAAACCCTTGGGAAGCACAGGGGTCTGAGCTGCGCGTGCGCTGCTTCCCAGCCAAGCGCTCTTGGTGGGATACTGTCTGGAGTAGGTGTGCTTGGCCGTTTCCTACTCTTATTATGGACATCCCTTGCTTTTTATAGTTCTTCCCCCTCATAATTTTCTTTTCATCTTGTTTCTCGTGCAGCTCCTCAAAATCTGGTCTCTTATTTAATGAATTATTTTGCTCCCAACTCTCAGCCATCTTTCTTAGCTGTTTTGTCATCTTCCTCTTCCATCCTACCTCTTCCCTTTATTTTCAGTCTCCTTAGTGCTCTCAAACTTGAGCATTGCTTTAACCACCATCTTTGAGGGAGAGGAGAAAGGAAACTATTAAAGAAGCAGCTCCCTTTTATCTCATCTTCTCGGTCGTGGTGCCATTTTTGTGAGTACGGAGACGTCTTGCTTGGTGCTCTTGATCCTCCCTCCCGGGCCTGCCCTGCACAGCTCTCCTCGGGCAGCGCCGTCCTTCTCCCAGCACCAGCATGTGGAGCTCAGGTTTTGGCTTTTACAAGACCTTTTGTTGGAACAATGTATTTCAAGCCACTTTTAAATCCTTCTGTCATGTCTCAAACGCAGTGCTGAATCGCACCACCCACAGGGTTGAAAAAAATCTCCCATAACTCCTCTTATCTGATTCCTTGGTTGGCTCAACTTCTTATCTTCTGGCCTGGCCTGCCACTGCTTTTTTCCCTTTGTTCATTCCTGCTCTGCTAAGAACGTTCCTCGGCTCATTTCTCTGACCCTGCTGACCCTTTTTAAGTCATTTCACAGACTGCCTTCCTCTTCTGTGCCTTATCTGGGATTCTGGTCTTCATTTAACACCTGTGTAGCAAATCTAGATTGCCAGGTAAGTGTTCAACCTGCTTGCTTAGCTCTGTGCTGTAACCAGTTTGCTGTATCCAGGAATAACAGCGTGCTTCCTTGCTTTCCAGTCATTGCATGTAGGGGAGGGAATCGAGGTAAATCCAAGTGGCTCCTTTCACATTCTCTTTTGGATTTGTCATACGCTTGTTGGTTATTATGGAAGAAGTTAAATTGCTCTGTGAGGGTGGTGAGGCCCTGGCACAGGTTGCCCAGAGAAGCTGTGGCTGCCTCATCCCTGGAAGTGTCCAAGGCCAGATTGGACAGGGCTTGGAGCAACCTGGGGTAGTGGAAGAGGTCCCTGTCCATGGCAGGGAGTGGAACGAGATGATCTTTAAGGTCTCTTCAAACCCAAACCATTCTATATTCTATGATTATTTAGCTCTTTTTGTGAAATGTTAGGCTTTTCCTGGCATCATGAGTAGAAAGGCGAAGAGCTAAGACTGTTTTCCCTTCCTTTCTCTAAAATGCTTTCTTTTGCTTCAATTTATTTAAATTTTAAAAAAAGCAGCAACATGACTTGGTTTGTTATTTCTTCATCTTGCTGAATCTTCATAAGACTACCAAATTATCCCCCCCTCCTTTCTTGAAAAGCTACAGGTGAAATGTGTGAGTAAGACTTTGACAAAGAGAGAGAGAACTTTTTCTAAACTTGGAACAATTTTTCGCAGTATCAGAACACCTCTAATTGGAAGAGCTAATCACACCAAAATATTTGTGATTTAAATTAATGCATATTAGGCATCCACTGGTAACAGCTTGTTTGGGAGATTTACTATATCCGTCTTCCCCACAAAAATATTCATTTAATTCAAATAACAAAGGACAAAAGTCGGGTTTTGGCAGATTTGCAGCAAATAAAAACAATTGACTTCCAAAATGTGTTACTTTGGTATGTGCAACCAGTTGAGAGGAACTCTTCTGGAGATTGTCTCCCATATGGATCCCTTGGATCAGATTGAATTACTTGCTATCAAATTCCCATCAAAAGAAACTAAGAGGAATAATCTTGTAGAGAGCAATCAGGATGGCAAGTAAATGCAAAAACTTGACCAAAGCTTGAGTTCTTAGCATGAGATGTGTTGTGCCTCCCAGTTTAGCTTCATACCCTAGTGAGCAAGTAGATGAACTCAAGAGCTTTTGTTTAATTTTTTGGATTAGCATCTGTGAGGATGTGACAGTGCTGAAAAGGCTTTTTGGGGTATCTGTCCAGCACAGCATCGTTCTTCACTGGGCTGGGGAGAAATAGGACTATGTGTACAAGTGCAAAAGAATGTTTAAACCACATGTAAAACCTTTGAGAGGTAAGTTTCTTGACAAAACTGTCTCTTATTTAGAGATGCCCAAGTTCTCTGCTAAAATATTAAATAGTGGTGTAAAATAGTGGTATAAAATATAAAATAATTGGCACCTAACAATAAAGGTCATTGTCTGTATTTGTTCTTTATTTACAGGAAGGGTGGAAAACCTAAATGCTGTATGAATTTAGTGTGTTAAATGTGATGTGGGGGTGTGTGTGTAATAATAGGCAGGCAGACATTTTTACATTTCTTTATTGGATACTTTTTCTTTGTGTTTCCCTAAAAAATGAGAATTGAGTCAAAATAAATGGCAAGAGTCTGCTAGATACTCGTCTGTGTTTTTTCCAAATTTGCTTTTTAGATTCTTCACATGGATTAGTGTATTTGCTCGCCTTATTTTCTTGCCTGCTTATTATTTTTACTGGTACACTGAGGGCTATGAAACACTTCCTCTGTTCTAAAATGGGATTGTTTCATTATTTTAATTGAGAGTTTTTCCAGATTAAAAAGAGAAACAAATTAATATGAGCATCATGCTCTATTGTGGTGGGGAAAATCGCTGCATTGTGTTAGAGAATGTTCTCTAGATTTCAGCAGAATGTAGTGTTGTAACTAGTGATGTAAGACAGTACTTAATAAAGGGTTTTTGCAGGGCTTGAACACTGGACTCATTTTTAACCTTGGATCCTTTCAGATCTCAGCCACAGTGGATTGGGAGACCATTATGAGAATTCCCACTGGGGACAGCAGCCCGCTTTCAGGAGTGAAGGCAACTGCAGCTGGGATAAAGTGATAATAGACAGGACTGACAAGGAAGCGTGGCCTTCCATAACCGGAGCTGAGACTGAGTCTGCCTCAGAATGTACTACAGACACTGACTCTGCCTCCAACTGTGGCTCAGAGAACAGTAGCATGGCTACAGGGAGTGCCCAAGGCAACTTCACTGGGCATACAAAGAAAACTAATGGCAATAATGGCGCCAACGGAGCACTCGTCCAAAGCACTTCTAACCAGAGTGCCCTTGGAGCTGGTGGAGCAAACGGCAACGGCAGCTCGGCCAGGGTGTGGGGGGTGGCTGCGGGCTCCAGCTCTGGCCTAGCTCACTGCTCTGCCAGTGGTGGGGATGGAAAGATGGACAACATGATGGGAGACGGTAGAAGTCAGAACTGCTGGGGTGCTTCCAACTCGAATGCTGGCATTAATCTTAACCTTAACCCTAATGCCAATCCAGCTGCCTGGCCTGTACTTGGACATGAAGGAACTGTGGGAGCAGGCAACCCTTCCAGTATTTGCAGTCCAGTCAGTGCCATAGGTCAGAATATGGGCAACCAGAATGGGAACCCAACAGGCACCTTGGGTGCTTGGGGAAACTTGCTGCCGCAAGAGAGCACAGAACCACAAACGTCCACTTCTCAGAATGTGTCTTTCAGCGTACAACCTCAGAACCTTAACACTGATGGACCAAATAACACTAACCCCATGAACTCTTCACCAAACCCTATCAATGCAATGCAGACAAACGGACTGCCGAACTGGGGCATGGCTGTTGGCATGGGGGCCATCATCCCGCCCCACCTGCAAGGCCTTCCTGGTGCTAACGGAACATCGGTTTCTCAAGTCAGCGGGGGCAGTGGTGAAGGAATGGGCAGTTCAGTGTGGGGGATGTCCCCAGGTAATCCTGCCACAGGAAACAGCAATTCTGGGTTCAGTCAGGGGAATGGAGACACTGTGAACTCAGCATTAAGTGCTAAACAAAACGGATCCAGCAGTGCTGTGCAAAAGGAAGGAAACGGAGCGAACGCGTGGGATTCGGGGCCTCCGTCCGGTCCCGGGGTCCTGGCGTGGGGCAGGGGCGGTGGCAGCGGAGGTGTTGGTGGTGTGCATTCTGGAGCTTGGGGCCACCCCAACCGTAACACCAGCAACGGTGTCAACGGGGAGTGGGGCAAGCCCCCAAACCAGCATTCCAATAGCGACATCAATGGGAAAGGATCAACAGGGTGGGATAGCTCTAGTGTTACCAGTCCGAACCCTGCCATGCAGCAGGGCAATGAACAAATGAACTCTTGGGCCAAAGCTGCAGCATCTGGCACCACGGCTAGTGAAGGAAGCAACGACAGCGGTGGGAGTCAAAATGAAGGCAGTACTGGGAGGGAGGGGGCTGGAGAGGGCAGGAGGAGAGACAAAGGGATGATAGACCAAGGGCAAGTTCAGTTGCCAAGAAATGACCTTGACCCCAGGGTCCTGTCCAATACGGGGTGGGGACAGACCCCTGTAAAGCAAAACACTGCCTGGGAATTTGAAGAGTCCCCAAGGTCTGAACGGAAGAATGACAATGGAACAGAGGCCTGGGGTTGTGCAGCTACTCAATCTTCAAACTCAGGGGGGAAGAACGATGGGTCCATCATGAACAGTACAAATACCTCTTCAGTATCTGGGTGGGTCAACTCTCCACCGGCAGCTGTTCCAACAAATACAGGTTGGGGAGACAATAACAACAAAGCACCAAATGGCCCGGGGGGGTGGGGAGAGTCAGCAAGCTCTACTACTGTTAATAATGCTGCTGCTGCCAAAAGCGGCCACGCTTGGAGTGGGACCGCAAATCAGGAGGACAAATCACCTACCTGGGGTGAACCTCAGAAACCCAAATCTCAAAACTGGGGAGATGGACAGAAATCAAATCCAAGCTGGACTTCAGGAGGTGGAGACTGGACAGATTCATCATCTGTTCCTGGACACTTGGGTGATGGGAAGAAGAATGGATCTGGATGGGATTCTGACAATAGATCGGGGTCTGGCTGGAATGATTCCACAAGGTCTGGGACCAGTGGGTGGGGAAATGGCACAAACAGCAAGGCTAATACAGGTACAAGTTGGGGGGAATCTTTAAAGCCAGGCCCCCAACAAAATTGGGCTAATAAACCCCAGGACAACAATGTGAGTAACTGGGGAGGAGCTGCTTCTGTAAAACAGACGGGGTCAGGGTGGGTTGGTGGGCCAGTGCCAGCCAAACAAAAAGAGAACTGTGAGGCAACTGGCTGGGAAGAGCCATCGCCACCGTCCATTCGCCGCAAGATGGAAATCGATGACGGTACCTCAGCTTGGGGCGACCCAAATTACAACAACAACAAGACTGTAAACATGTGGGATAGAAATAATCCTATAATTCAGAGCAGTACCACAACCAACACCACCACCACTAGCACCATTATCAACACCAACATGGTTGAACCTCAGCCATCGCACCAGCCAAGTGCCCAGCCAAACCGGTCCCCGCTGCTTGGCCCAGGTATGAAAATAGTTTTATAAGTGATTTTATAGTTTTACAAAGTACTTTATACCAGTACCACTTAACTGAATGCTGTCTGTCCTATCAGTGCGTAGTTGGCGCATTAAAGGTAGAAATCCTGTATTTATGTCGTAGAATATGTTTATTTCTTTACTCTGAACCTGTTCTAACATCTCATCTTGAGGACAGAACTTATGGGACCCGAAACAAATTTCCATAGTCCAAGTGAATGTAAGAAAGGCTTGAAACAGTGTCTGGTCAATAACCTGGAAGGTTTTTAGATGGTGGACCCATATTTATTTTGGCATGTCTTCCCCAGTTACTTTTAATTTGAGAGTTTGGGGTCTTTTGGCAAACCTTTCTTATTTGTCTCCTGTTCCTGTTGGAGAGGCTCTGTTCTTGTTTAGATAGTCTGCATCTGTTTCTTTGCTGCAAACCATATCTCTTGGCAACACATGTTTTTTAGCAGTTGCATGAATTCAGGCTTTTGCTGTTTCTCTTTTATGAAGGAATAGTTCTCCTCCCTACCTCAAGGCACGGCCAGTACCCTGGATTTTGTGTGATTCTCATAAAGCATTATTGGCTAAACACGTTAATATTCAGGGTGGCTGGGAAAAGTTATTTTAACTTCGGCTGTGCTCCAAAGACAAGTTTTTAGAGATCTAGGAATTTTTCTAATCAAAGACAGGGTACTCTTGTGGACAATCAGCAAGGAATAAAAATGCATAAAAATGAGAAAAATCCTTAAGGAGGAGGTATTTAAATAAAAGTTAACACCAGCAGCCCTGATCTGTATCATGACCACAGACCTCTCCAAGATTAATCTAATCTTGCAATGCTGTTACAAATTCTTCATCTGATTTTTGTCTCCAGGTTTGTGTTCCGTCTTGGTCATGACTAAGTACTCTCTTTTTAACCACATTTTTTTCCAAGTGGGATTTGTTCTCTCATTTCCAACAGTTTTCTCTTTGATGTTGTGAAATAATTCAAATTTACTCTAATGACTGTGTAAAAATAGTCTTGTGTTCCCCACTCTGGTCAAATATTTCAACAGTTGAGGCAAATGTTATTGGAACACATGTTATTTTAATAAAAAATTTAATAAAATAATATGTGCTTCCGAAGGAGAAATCTTTAAATAGCTTTGTACTTGGTCAGTTCAACATACATGATTGATAATTAATTTACTTTAAACTTATTTCATCCATATTTAAAACTTTACCCATGGAACAAGAATTCAGATTTCTGAATTGTAGTGGAGCTGTCATGGAGGTGAATTTTTGATTGGTTTAAGTGAGGTTTTGTTTTTCATTAAGGTGATTTTTGGAGGATTACCTTGGTGCATGCAAAACAGTTCATACACAGCAATGCATTGTTAATGCTATTAAATAATCTAACACCTTGCAGAGGAAAACTTACAGTTCTGAGTCTTTTAGGTTTTGAAAAGAGAGTTTAAAATGTGGTGTTAATGTGCAGTGATTCCTCTGGAGAATGGACAGTAGCAAAGGAGGGGTTTTGTTGAAGCAATATGTTTATACACTTGGAGAACTGCTTATGAATCTGTAACCTTCTGCTCAAGTTGCCTCATGACCACGTTAAAGTTACAGTGTTGGGCATCTTGTAAAATGTGAATTAGAAAGATTCTAAGAAAAATATTTCTTTTTTTTTAATGTTTTAAGATAAGCAAAGCCAGCTCTCAGAGTACACTGAAGTCAGCATGCAAGGAAGTATAAAATGAGCAGTAGTGAGAACAATTCAAAATATAGTTCTGATATTAAAACTGAGGTCAAGCTGCTCCAGGCATAAATTAGGCCTTTTGTTGTGTATTTTTGTTCCATATACTTAGAACTGTGTACGGAGGTACAGGTATAAATGCCAAACAAGGGAATGTTTTGAAGGATTATTGTCTAATCTGCAAATGGAAGCGAGGAGCAGTCCCCTGAGCCTTGCTGTGTTCTGCCCATGTTTACTGGTGGCTGTGCCCAAGGAGGACCAGCCTTGTGCTTATCTTACTCAGAGAGCAAAAATTGCAGTTTCAAGTGATCCCATTAACTTCCCGTTCGGAGTGCAGGGGGCCCAGTTTCCCCAGTGCCAGGGCAGCTGCAGAGCAATATCCTCTTGGTCTGTGTGGAAATTACACAGACTTAAAACATCTACAAATCATCTCCCATCTGGGACAGCTAAAAGATGGGAAGCAAGTAGTGTGTGTCTTCCCTCCCACACAGACGGGGACCTGCAGCTTGGAGTCGTGCTGTTTAACTGTCGTTTTTCCTACTCCAGTTCCCTCTCCACTTGGCTTTGCTTTTCCAGCCTCTGCAGTAAGGAAGACAGGAATCCTGTAACCAGTAGACTTCAGTAATCCACAACCAAATTTCATCCGGCAACAGTTCTTTTCCATGTACAGTATTTCCATGCAAAACATGATAGTGCCATGAGAGGCTGTGCCATAGGGCACATTTAAGTGCTTGTCTAAAATCTTGCAGCACTTGGACCGTGTAGTTACCACGGGCATTTTGTCATCTGCATGGGTCATGAAGTGCTTTGCCAATCACATTCACGGAGTAGAGTGAATAAGGAATTATGGATTCTCTGTAAGTAGGGAAGGTGATGCAGCTGTAAGATGTCACAGTCATACATCCTGAAAGCAAAAAAGTGGATTTTAATTTTGCTGTACAGCACTAGTTAGGGGTTCACAAAGGATTAGCAGTTCCCTTTAGGGTTGAAGTTTATGCTTTTTTAGTTTAGAAGTAGAGGCCAAGTTACAGTCTTGTTATTCAAGTTGTCACCCATCCCCAGAAGTTCTCCAAATTCTTTGAACACAGAACTTAAAAGCTATTGATGGGAAGCAGATGTTGGTACACACTTGATGAAAATGCAGAATGCTCTAAGGAGTTTCTTCTTCTATTGGAAAAGAAGAAATAAAAAGGGGGGAAGGGGATAGATGATGTGATAGATGTAGTCCTTTCTGGTTCTAGGAGCTTGGTCACAAACCTCCAGTGAGTTACTTAGGAAGATGAGCAGGAAGCTGGTGGGTTTGAGTTAGATTTGATTTTAATCTCAATTACTTGTGCATAATTCTTCCCAGCACTTTTATTTCATGCGGCTTTGATACAAGGGGAATAAGAAGCAAGAAAGGTTTTTCAAACAGGAATGATTAAAAGAGGTTTTTGGATCCCAAACAGCACCAGATCCTTCCTCCAAGTGCTGATGAGTGGGCTTGATGCTTTCCTGTTCCCATTAGGCTGTGAGAGCCTGGCAGGGTTCCAACCACCCATCCTCTGGCTGAGGAAAGGAAAAGCAAAAGATGATATAGGCTTCCCTGTGGGGGGTTTAGGTAAAAAATTAAGGTCTTTGTGATTCCTAGACAGCAATAAGCTTAAGTTTTAGAAATCTTACCCAGGCCTACGATCTGAAAGCTCCAGACATCTCTCTGTTCCTTTTGTAATCCTGTGCCACTGTCTCAGTGGTAACTCGTGACAGCCATTGCCTGTGATTGATGTGAAATGCAGGATGCAAGTGATGCGTTTTCCTTACTTTGAACTTCCATCAGAATGCATTTGAAACCAGCTCAGCTTTGGGCTCAATTAGGATGCTCGTGAAAACCTAAAACCCTGTTGTGGGAGCTCAGCCCACGAACAGCCAGGTTTTTGGGGAGCAGCCAGGTGATGATGAGAGACCTTGCCCTTGATTTTCACACAAGAGTGATCTCACTGCTGAAACCCAAATTAAAGCTTCCTGAATGCTGAGAGGTACAAGAAATCATGGAGTTCCACTGCATGAACTGGAATCCCTTCGAGAAAATGAGGATTTGAAAGGTTAAGGGTTATAAGTGGCTCTTAAATATATATGTTTATTTATTTATATATATATATATATAAACCCCTCCCTTGTACATGCACACCTTATAGCTTAATTTCTTCTATTAACAGACTAGTGTCTAATTAGTAAACAATCTCTTTTCTACCTGATTTCTTCATTTTTTATCTACATAAGGTTCTAATATTTTGGTTTGCCTGTATCGTAGTCATGTATCTGCTGTTTATCACGGACCAACAACTTCAAGGAAAACAATTTCTGCCATCCAAATGGCTATAGGGTTATTTTGAGGGAAAACAACTGCATCCTGCCACAGCTTAGTTAACATTTCACTTTCCCTTGAGGATTTCCTGTTGGCTGTGGCCCAATGTTAATTATGTTTTTATTTCTATAAAACAAAGCTCTGCCAATGTGTCCATGTTTATTACTCACTGTGATCTTTTTGTTTCTTGCAATTCTAACAATGTTTAAAAGCTTCAGTACTAAAACCTCACTTTCTTGCCAAAGAAGCCTTTAATGGAGCTCATTCTGTTGCAAAACAACACTCGTGCAGATCTGGGTTGGTTTTAAGGAGCTTTTTCTTGAGAAAGCCTAAAGCATATTATTTTCATAAAGAAGTTATTAAGTTTTCTCCAAGCAGAATTGTTGCAAAATGTTAGCCAGGTTCAGGTTTTGAGGCCATGTAGAGTTTTGCATCATTCATTCAAAAATGTAACTACATTCACCTTCAGAGTTTCTAAAACAGAATCATATGGAGTCATAAAAAGGTAGCACAGAGATAGTAACGTTGGGACAGCAGGTACTTACACAGAGAGGAAGCAGGTTTGCAATTCAGAATTACATACAGGTTAATTCTTGCAGTGCACAGGTGGTTTCTCCAGCAGCCTTCACGTTTTATTTACTAATTTCCTCCACTTAATTTGATCTGGTAAGATAGTTTTGAAACCTTTTTGTTGATTTGTTTTGTTTGCTTTTATGTATTTGCATTACCCTCATTTAGTAAAGGCTGGTTCCTCCATTATTTGTAATCCTGTATTATTTACTGCTCAGTGAATTCAAAAGCACTTAAAATAACTTGGACCTTACACATATGTGGCCTTTAATCGATGTTGTTGAATTTATAGTAAAAAGCAACAGCAGGAACAGTTCTTTCGAGGCTTTTATTCTATAATGTAGCACACTTTGGCTTTTTAATATATGAATTGTGTTTTAAGGATGATTTCATAAATGAATTAGGTAGACTTTCCAGTATAGTTTGCATGAACTCAAGGAAATATTAGTATTCTGCACTGTCTCTGCTTGTAGTCTGGTTGGTGCTGTAGAGATGTTTTGTTTCTATTTCATTTGCCTGCAGTTAATCTTTTTCAGCTGCCAATATGATTAAATACACGCAGTTGTCTTCCACTTGCCTCCTGAGTAGTGAGGCAGAAATTCAAATAAAGCTTCCCTTAAATAAAGTTGGCTTGAAGATACAAGCAGAAACCTTGAAATGAGTATTTCAGGTGCAGCACCAAGGAAGCTGTCGTGTTAAGCAGAGGTTCATTTAGATACATCTGTGGATCTGCCAGTTTATCTTCTTTACACACCTTAAAATAACATTGACAGAGCCTAAACCACAGTATTTTTTGTTTCAAATGGAAATCACTTTAATAAAACAGTGACATTTTGGGTTGTTTCAGGAGTATGCTTTAAAACCGAGTGAATCTTGCTGGTAGTGAAGGGGTTTTATTAAGCTGTTTGTTCCTGAACATGTCGCCGTGGTTTGTGCCATCTGCACTTTGATCAGTGTCTGAGAGAGCTGCAGTGGCTTCAAGAAATAGAACCTAAAATAAATATCTAATATGGGAACACTGGAGCCATGGACAGATCTGAGCACATCTATTTGAAAGGAATTTTTTTTTCTCTGCTGGGCAACGTTTGAGTTGTTATTGGCAGTGAATGTTGCTGCAGTTTCTGGTAACAGAAATTCTGTGGAAATCAGTGAGTTCTGCAAAGACTTGTTGCTTAGTGAAATGGTTAGTTCAAATTATTTTGAGGTATTCTTAGATATAGTTCTTTTGTGGTGACTTCCTTGCCGTTGTCTACCTATTCTAAGTGTCAGTTTGTGGAGAAAATGTTGTTCCTGCTCTTTGAAACCTTTCCAGAGTATTTTTATAGAGCACTGGGGAGCAAAAAAGGAATACTGCCGAGGCAAAGTAGGCATTTAGTTCTTCAGTTATAAAATACCTGTCTTAATAACATTTGTCTCCAGTTAAAAGAGAACAAGTTCCTGAATTAGCAGCCTAATTACCAGGGGAAGTTTTAAGCAGACTGAATTCTGCAATACTTGTTGAGACCTCAGTTGTCATGTAATGGGTTGCAATTTTTTATAATTGTGGAAAAATAGGTTAATATCAGGTATCTGTTCTTGTTTTCTTGCTTGTTATGCATCTCTTTTGTATATATTTAGAAAGTACCTCGAACTCCATCTGTGATCCAAGTTCCCTCTTCAGAAAAAGCTCTGGTAATGATAGTTGTAAATTCAGTTTAGCCTTTTGCTGTGTTGGTCAGGGTTGCTCTGTAGGACTCAGAAGCTCCATGGCTGTTCCTGCCACATTCAACTTCAGGGCTAAAATCGTGTCATATGGATTTAAGCGCATTACATTCAAGCCAAGCCAGACTAAGGCTGTTTCTGCATAGTGGCTTACGTCTTTCAGTGAGTTAATGCAATACTCTTTAGAAAAACAGTGACTTCTACCTGCTGTTCCTCATGGTTTGACTGTGGATCCTAATTGCAGTCTTGTCTAGTTCCCATAAAAAATTATTATACTGTAGAGGCTCAGTGTTGAAGGGGTATGTAGGGAGCACAGTCAACCATGAGCCGGAATAACAAACAAATAGCATCTTACAGGGCACGAGAAAAGAGATTTTATAATTTGTAAATAGTTAAAAGGAATTAAAATAGGTTAAAATCTTTCAGTGAATCAAGGCCTGACTCGGGTTGGGTCTCCTGGACACTGGCCCTGCTGCCTGTGCTCCCTGAGCCCTGTTTAAGCCGCTCTGAGAAGTCACGTTTGAAGCAGCTGCTCCTTGGGATCAGGTGTGCTGCTCACCTGGCTGTGGAAAAAACCACTTTCTACCCTGGCCACTTGGTGTTACTATTCAATTAAGAAAAAGACTTTTGGGACCACATCTAAGGGATTTTTTTTTTTAATACACTTAATTAGAATCACTGTCTGTGCTTACTGGTTCGCGTCCTTTGCAGAAAAACTCTTTAGTGAAATGTCCACCTTTGAAATGAGTGACAAAAGAAGCCTTTCCTCTCATCAGTGTTCTCCTTCCCTTGCTCCAGCAGGCTGGGGAGAGATGCCTGCTGTCCACACAAAGACCGAAGCTTCTTGGGGAGAGCCCTCGTCCCCTTCTGCTGCAGTTGATAATGGCACTTCGGCGTGGGGGAAACCCCCCAGCAGTGGGACCGGGTGGGGAGAGAATCCTGCCGAGCCGGCAGGGACATATGGAAGAACAAACGCTCCAGCTGCTGCCCCAGCACTGTGCAAACCAGGTACACACGTGGCTGTCACACCCTTAGAGGTTGGGGGAGAAGATGGGGAAAGTGGGTTTGTTTCTGCCAGCAGTTTTCAAACAGAGCTTCTGGTTTTCTGCGCTTTGAAATCAGAGACTGCCTTAATTTCATTCTCAGAGCTGCATTAGCTGCCTCTAACTGTCGATACTCCAGGTACCAAATTAATCCAAAAATATGAATATAGTGCATCAATCCAGTAAATTTAAAGGAGAGTAATTTTGTGTACTTGGAAGGCAGTATGGTACAGAGGCAGGAATTGTAGAGATGCAGAAGGACATGACTAGGTGCCTAAAGAAACCTGTAATTGGGATGAGAAGCAGCAGAGTTCAGCCAAAGTAGGACTGATTCTGGTAGGAAAAGCAACACCTGAGAACAGCTAGTCATAACCTCACTGCTGGGTCATAACCTCACTGTTGGGTCATACTTGAGGGAGTGGGTATTTTCTTCAGCTGTTACAATTGTTCACAGGTTCAGGAACATCCTGAACTACTTCCTGCTTCGTGATTCCTAACTCATGTTATTCGATAAAAATCCTTTATCTCTGAATGCCCTGAAGGCTACAGTGATTGCTTTTGGCTTCTGTTTTGGCTGTGGGAGTTGCCTGAAGTTCACTCCTGCAAAATACCGTATTGAGAGATAGATAGAAGGCTCAGAAAACATAAAAGGAGAAGCGAGAGGTCTTAAGATGAGTAATCCCAGCTTTAAACAGAGTAAACAGAATAAAATGGACTGAGGGGACACAACCTCATCACTGAATAGAAAGCGTTCCCTGCAGCCCAGGAGCTCCTTTCAGATTCCATTCTTCCGAGATGGGAATGAGTTTCTGACCGTTAATGACCTCGAAATTTGGGTTTGTTCGTCGGAAGAATGTGGCAGCTAAAATGGTGAGATTCGTTGAAAGCAAAATAGCATTTAACAAGTGTGTGGTCATAGTTTGGTTCCCTGTTCCTAGGAGACTGGAGTGGCCATGACCACAGATCTTGCTTGTTCTGGGGAAAGCAGGACTTGTGGTTGCTGGATTTTTTTCTTCTCTAAGTATTTAGAGCACTTTTCTTTTTTGCTAGCTTCAGAGAAGGCGTCCTTATCATTTAATGCCAGTTAAACTATTTGATAAACCTCTGTGTCTCTTGGAAATACTCATGTTAGCACACTGAATATGGCATATTTTTGCAAAATTAAGATTTTTCTTCTCCCTCTTTCCCTCCAGCTTCAAAATCTATGCAAGAAGGCTGGGGCAGTGGTGGGGATGAAGTGAATCTCAGTACTAGTCAGTGGGAAGATGAAGAAGGAGATATGTGGAATAATACTGCTTCACAAGAGAGCAGCTCCTCCTGTAATTCCTGGGGGAATGCCCCGAAGAAAGGACTTCAAAAGGTAAAACAAAAATAAAGACACTCCCTAGGAAGAGTGGAATTAGTATTAACATTTGTAGAATAAGTTGTCACAAGTTTGCTGTTGCATTGCACCTGAAATTAGATCTCTGACACCTGAACCCAAGCACAACTTGCCACTACAGTGGTTCAAGTACAGCCTACCTTGTTTCCAGGGGAAAATGGGAGATCTTTGAATTAAGGCATGTCAGATGCTTTGGGAGTTTTGTTGCTGTTGCCTTTGTTTTTTTAAGTTTTCTAAGCTTCCATGTATTCTAAAATGAAAATGTATTAACAGAAAGAAAAAAGGTGTTAAGGGGGCTTTCAGTCACTTCCCATGGTGGTGGGAAAGCAGTAGTTTGTGATGGATTTGTTTAACAAAACCAGCTGTTTTCTGTTTGTGAGGAACCAACAGATAACTGTACGGGGTGTGTGTGTGTGTGAGAACAAAGCGAACTTGTATTAATGCTGCACTCAACCGAGAACGTAGAAAATTGTGTGAGGAAGTTTCCCATTGCACAATCTTTATTTCAGGACAAGGCCAGGCTGTAACTTAAAGGAATTGGGAATGCATTTAGCCACTTTGTTTGTTGTTCCATTAGCCAACAGTTAGGCCAGTGATTTGATCAAGTATGGTTGTTTCTTGTACTGTCCGCAGCCCAAAACAAATCCGCGCTTGTCCCTTGGTACTTTCTGGAGAACTGAAAGGAAGAGACTTCTTAAGGATTTTGTGATAGAAAAGCTGCACAGAGATCTTTTAAAGGTGTTTATCTAGACGCTCTTGTTTGTTTTTAAGAAAATACACTGAGTAACATTCTTAACTTCAAGGTCGCAAACTTGTTTTTGGGAATGTTTTTCAGGAAGTGTTGTACTATTTCGGCTTTATTTCATTACGTTTTTCTGCCAAGGATTAAAATGAAATATGTAAATTCAAAGGTGGCTTTAATTCAGTGGTCGGCAAATCAAATACTAAATAGTACACTGAACTTTATTCAGCTGAGATAAAATTTGTTACACTTTTGGGGGAAGAGAATCGTAGTCGCGTTGCTCGGAGGGTTCTTCAATACTTTCTGAATTAATGTACTAATACATCTTTCAGTAGCATGTGTTATTAATAAAAAACACTTACCATTTCTTTTATGTACATCTCACTAGTACAAACGTGGAAACCAGCCCATTAATGCAGTCTCCCATTTATTTACTAAGGGCATGAAGACATCTAGCAAGCAGGATGAGGCCTGGATCATGAACCGTCTGATAAAACAGCTCACAGACATGGGCTTCCCTGTGAGTAGTGCTCAGACAGACACCTCTGACTTAGCCTTGGTAGCTTATAGTTCTGACTTGATTTGTAGGTACAAAAAGATCTTCAGTCTCTTCTTCAGGTCAGGAAGCAGCTCTGTTACCTGCACTTAGACTGTAATTTCAGAAATCTGCTGTAAACTAGTAAAGTGCTCTGAAATCAACTGGAGGATACACTTTGTGTGATGGCATTTAGAATATTTTGATATTCAGAGTTTAATGACAACAGGTATTGCTTTGAACTGCAGTAATAATTCCACTCCTGTTCCCCTTTTCTTATTAAACAGGTCAAATGAGAGTATAGCTGGATTTTTTTTTTTTTTTAGAGAAAAATCATCGTGATATTTAAGTTGTCCATAGGAAATGGGAAGACGTTTAAACAGAGCAGTGTGGTTTGACCTTGTAGAGCTGGTACTTGGCAAACTGAAACAACTGAGTTGTGGGAATTGCCCAAAGGAGAAAAAAAAATACACGCAGACATTATTTAGGCTGCAGAGTAAATATTAGATCCAGTATTTAAGAGATTTATCTGTTTTCTCAGGTTGCTTTGAAATCCTATGAGTGTGATTACCTTTTTCTTAACATAATTCATATTTTTTGACAGAGAGAGCCAGCGGAAGAGGCCTTGAAGAGCAACAGTATGAATCTCGATCAGGCCATGAGTAAGTATCTGTGTAAGTAATTTTTTTTGTCTTTAAAGCAACAGAGGAACCCTTTGTGATTCCGAGAGTTTTATTATATCCAGATCGATTGGGTAATATTTATTTTCTTGCTTTTGCTTTTGCAAGCAAGATGTATTTCTCAAAACTACTGCTGGCAACTTCATACTGTCTCTGTGTCACCTTTTCCAATGTAATTCCCTTTTCTGTGCAGGTGCTCTGCTGGAAAAGAAGGTGGAAATGGACAAGCGTGGAATGGGAGTGACCGACTATAATGGAATGGTCACCAAACCCCTTGGCTGCCGCCCACCACCAATCTCCAAAGAGTCTTCCATGGACCGCCCCACCTTCCTTGACAAGGTGAGCTCAGAAATAGGAATGTGATACACAAGTCCAGGTGTGCACTGTGTAGAAATACTGATGATTTCCACTATTTGTTTAGAAAGCGTAAAGAGAAGTATCTTAGATATGGCTTTATTCCTTTTCTGGTCTTTTTGTAATCTCGTGGGGAGTTCGGTCCTTGCACAAAGGACCAGTGATTTGATTCCCACATAGAAATAAACAATGGTCATCACTGGTTTTACACTTGAAAACTTATCAGGGAATCAGTAATACAATGCAATTAGAAGTGGAAAAAAACAAAGAAATGAAGCACAGAAGCCCTTTCACTCTGCGAGGGTCCAGACAGTCAGTGACCCCTGCCCACATTAACAATCAGGCAGGACTAAGGCCAAAATCTTCAAGAATTAGGCTCCTAATTCCTCTTTCAGTTTTGAGCTTCTTATAGATTTCAGTGAAAGTTCAGTACCTAAATAGGAAAGAGAAGCTGAGGTATTTTTGTTAAGTCTCAGAGCAGACACGCACAGTCAAAAATAGCTTCTCCAATGAGCTTCCCTTTCTGTGGTCACGTATGACAAATTTCACAGCACTATTTAATGACTGAAGAGAAGGCTCCACAAGTTTGTGGTGTCCAAAATTCGAAGTGACTAAAGAAAAGAATGTGGAGAAAAGTGCTGCCAGGTATTCAGTACGAAATGAGATTTACAATCTGATGCAAAGTCCCACCAAAGTCCCTCAGAACTCCCCTGAAAATTATTGATAAGGAAAGAACAATCTCACATGCCAGGTCTGTGTGTCACAGGTTATCTAAAGGTTCATACAGATGGGTGGTGGTAGATTCTCAACACAGAAATTGGTGCTTTTCACAAACTGTGCTGAAACCAATTCATTTTGCATAAGCTGTGTACAGGATGTGAGGCAGTAATGACACCTAGTCATATAAAGTTCATTCTTAGCTATGGCAAACTTTAATGAATATGTTAATTGAAGGCCACAAGATTGATGCATGCATGCCAGTTAACCTTCCCTTTTCTTGGATAACAATATCTTCAGCAGTAAAATTATTGCCAGAGAGAGAGGTGCATTATGTGCAGCATGATGCATAATTATGGAAACATATGTTAAACACAACTATTGAGAAGGGAGTACTAAAATCATTAATATTCATACAGCAAGTAAAATCTATCAGTCTAGGCATAATCTGTCACAGTGACTTTGCTATAACAAAAGGAAATAATCCCACACTGTATTTGTTAGCTATCACAGTGTTGAGCAACTTGTTAAGTGAATTAAATAAATATAGTTCCTACTCGAAGAACGGATTTTTTTCCCCAAAGAAATTCTTTCCAGTTTTACAGCTCATGCTAATAGAGCAACTCCTCTTCTTCCCCAAAGGCTTTCTGCCCTTTGTGGTATTATTCCAGAGCATGAGTCTGGAGCTGTCTCCTTTCCTGCTCAGATCATCCTTGTGAGGAACAAGCTCTCAGCACAGCTAGACAGAGCATTCCAGCCAACATTCCCTGTTTTACTTACTGCCTTAGCAAGTCATTATCCTTTTATTGGCTCTGCCGAGTCTTCAGTGAGTTCTGCAAGGTTCCTCCTCATGAAATTTTAGGTTGGGTTTGTGTGCTCATTGATTCTCTCTCACTGATTCTCTCAACTCACCTGCATTGAGACTCCCATCATTTTTCTCCTGTGTTTTCTCTGACAGGTAAAGCCAGCACTTGCTTTTTTTTTAACCTTATGCATTTGAGGTGGGAGAATTTCCAGCCCTGACATTTGCTTCTGGACCCTCTGAACTCCCTCTTCTCTCTGAATCAGTAGTGATCTGTACAACTCAACATCACCTTTGAATGTTTGCTTTCTCTTGTTCCACAGTGCTTGCTGCAGGTGCTCTTTGTTCTGTGTCACACTGAGTCAATCTTTGGCACTTGGTGCTTTGTTAATTGTTTTATTTCTCAGGGTGTTATCTTGACCTGTAGGAGCATAACATGAGAAGGGAGAAAATCCAGTGGCTTTGAGGAAATAAAGATGCAGCCCTGATGCATGATCTCAACCACATTATCTTATACTTTGCCCTGATGCTGCTTCCAAACGTTCTCCCAAATTCTTGAGCACACAGGAGACTCTGAAATTCTCACCTTACAAATGAAGTCTCCTTTTCTCTACTGTCTTATTCATTGATGAGCTCTTCCTTTCTACTACTGAGAGATCCAGGTCTACAAGCCTTGATGCCTCTTAACTGCAAAAGTCTTATGACTAGGCATTTTTCTTGTTTCTAATTGAAACATCACATTTGTTGGTTTTTTTCAACCTCATCCTTCACATTCTGATCTCAGTAATCTCTGGTGACTGTGACTGTTTTTTGTCATTGGGGCAATAAACAGGATATTTTGTTATTATGCAGAAACACTTTTTAAGGCCTGGCAATTAGATAATAATTGCCAGAATTTTAAGCTTGACTTAAAATTCTTCTTTCCTTCATCTCTGCTTCCTATGATTTGATGACTGCTCCTTTTTTGAACTTCCAGACTTTGAAACCACTTTCATCTTCCCATGTATAATGAGTATTTCTTTGAGTATTGCATTTCCTCCAAGTTTCTTTTGGCTCTACCTGACTCCTGTCTCATTTGAAGACAACTTTTTTTGAGATGAGATTTTATTACTTTACCTTCCTCTTTTAGAAAAGGGGGTTTTTTTTAACTTTTTTTTAAAGAAGTCAATGTGTATTTTCTACCAACTGTTTCTGTTACTGACTTGGCATAAAGACCTCTGACAAAATTCATGAGCCTTGCTCTCTGTTTATGGCATTTTGATTCAAGAAGTGGCAGTTGTTGGGAGGTGACTGTCAAAGTGTCCAGGAATCCTCTGCTAAATAATCCGTATCTCAAAGGGCTGAAAAAACCTTAGAGTAACACCACTTGCATTCTCTCACATTTGGTGCTTGAGAGTTTTGTGAGAGACTTTCCAAAGTCCTAAAAAGCACCAGTGTGGTGTTTTGTGTTGGATTACTGTAGTAGCAAACCCTGCAGTAGGATTTTACAGCTGTGTCAAGTCCCTCCAAAAAAGTTAAAAGCAGTGTTGGATTGAGCATAATGTGATGATTCAAATGTGGAGGCTTTGCTTAATTGATTAGCCTGAGGGAGAAATGTAACATAAATTTGTAAGTAAATCACTGAAGAGGAAAAGTTAGGTAGAAAAGATTTCTCTTCAGGAAACAAATATTATGTAAAGGAGCCTGAAAAATAATGGATTACAAACCACTGTGAGCAGTAAAGGTGTCCCCTGGTCTGGGTTGGGAATGGTTTTAAGTTGACCAATTAAAATACTTTATGTTAAATGAATTGATTTCAGTTCAGTTACAGAGCACAGATTTGTGCAACAGTTTAAATAAAATAGAACCAAATGAATGTGAACAAAGTGTCATAAACTTGAACAAAAGCCATTTGCTGCAGAAGGAACACCCTTGTGAAGGAGTCTGCCTGGTCTAGAAATTAAATGCCTGAGTCTCCAGTGTGGCTTCTCCTCCACCATCCCTGGCACTGCCTATTTCAAAATTGAGAAAAAATAATGTCAGTGAGACAAGACTTGAATAAATTCGGGGGCCAGGGAGGGATTGCATTTCTCTTTCATGGTCAGTAGGTCTGTTCACATAGGAAACAATGGCATCTGAAGGAGAGAGCACACACCAAGCTTGAAATTATTTTCACTTTAAAGGGGGAAGGGTAGAATTGTAAACATATGTCTGTGATCTGAAGAGAAATCCTTGAACCTGTTACTGTCATGCAAGCTGCAGTTGTTTGTGGAGTGTGACTGATGTCCAGTAGAATGTAAAATATCTCAAGCTGAAAGGCCTTGGGGATATCATTAGAAAATGTCAGTGTCCCCCTCAGGATAGTCAGATAACATGTCAAGTGTCACTTTGCCTCATAGTAAAGAAACTTTTCCTTTGCATCAAAGGAGAGCTGTTGAAAATGCATTTTTCAGCATTAACTTAGAACATAAAATTCACTGAGCATGCTTGCTGCATTAGGTCATTTATTTGGGTATCTGGTTCGCAGACGGGGCTGCTTTTTGAACAAAGAAGGTTTATCAATATCTCACAGTCTTCTGGGGCATTGAATTTATAGGCTGAAATAACCAGGCTCCTCACCTGTTCAAAAAGCCTTTCCTTGCAATGAACATATTGCCTGAAAAACCCCAGTCCAGCGCATTGCAAATTAGAGATTTTTCACTCTGCCTGTTTTTTCGGAGCCCTACTTTGTACACAGTGTTATTTGATCATGCTTGCCGCAGGCTCCCCAGACATCAAAGCACAGTTTGAGATAGAACTCGGTGCCCCACTGTAATATGAGTGAGATATCTACCTGTTTGATTGGGGATTCTGTAATTTATTTTATTTTCTGCCTTGCTGTTTGCCCCCCGTGGGGGCTGCCTCCTGTGCATCACAGCCACGCTCAGCTGTGGTTCCTTGCAGCCCAGTTATCAGAGGGGGCTCCTCCTGCCTTGCTAAAATCTGCCTCCTCCTGGGGATGTTCAGGAAGGCTGCACAGACGATATTGTCATTATTGGGTTTAAGTGGTTTGTGTTCATTGGGTGCAGTGTAATGTTTCATAGTGGGTATTAATAACTCAGCGCTATGTGAATATTAAAAGAGGCTCATGTGTCTCAGTTAGGAAAGGGGATTACTGCAAAAATGCTTTTTTAAGAGCAGAGCTATGATGTGGAACCAAATCCAGACTGTTGTTAAATAAGCTGATCTGGCCTCTCCCAAGTTTTGGGTTAGCTAAAGCGGTATGTCTGATGTCTGCACTCCGCTGCTGAGAATTTTCCAAACAGACAGAGGACTTCCCTGAAATGTGCTGGCTCTATTCCCTTTGCACCTTTCAATCTGGTGGAGAAAAGAGGAGATAATCCAAGTGGGGAGGAGGCAATGGCCACATGATAGCTCTGCAGTTGGCTGCTAGAATCCCTCCTTTCCTCTGGAGAGGTGGGTGAGGGTGATTGTGCATTTGGGGATTAAGAGCAACAGATTGAAGAAAAACAGTACCTTAATGCTGTTTCTCTCTTTCTTCTCCCTTCACTCCATGCTTCTCATTCCCTGTTATTCATACCTTTTTTTTATATATATATTTTTATTCATCCATGCCCTTTTCTGTCTCCATGGGACACTGTTTTGTGCGCTGTCGGCTCCTGGCACCGCACACAGCTCACCCTTTCTTTCTCCAATCAGGATGGCGGCCTAGTGGAAGAGCCCACTACTTCACCATTTTTGCCTTCACCAAGCCTGAAGCTCCCCCTTTCAAACAGTGCACTCCCTAATCAGACCCTGGGCGGGATTGCCTCAGGGCTGGGCATGCAAAACTTGAATTCTTCTAGACAGGTAAGGCTGTCAGGGGAGATCCAAGGTGAATTTCAGCTCTCTTGGATTAGCTGCTAGAGCCCGTCCGTCACTTCCCCAGGGAAAAGGGGTTTAAACTGAAAGTGCAACATCTTTGTTCACGTGAAATATCAATGGAGGAACTACCTGCTGTGTAAACGTTTCACCTTATAGGACATAAAACAACTGCTTAGTTGTAATTAGCCTGTTAATGGCACACATCCATTAAGAAGAGTCTGTAGCCTTTTGAATTTATATCCCTGAACCCTGGTGTGGCTCTGCTTTGATTGATGGAAATCCCTTTTTTTGAGGCATTGCAAATTGTCACACTCAGAGGCAGAGACATTGCTCTAGTTCATTTTTCCTGGCAGGCTTAATTATTCAGTGATGAGATGGGGAGAAATGAGGGGGGCTTTTTTATTCCTGCTTTATAAGTGTCAAGGCAGCTCATAGTTTTGCAGGTGGCAAGAAAGAAGCTGGACTTCCAGCACCCGGGTCAGATGGAGCACTGAGGCAAGGGGGGTGTTTTGGCCCCTGGGTACAACATGCTGAAAGGGAAAGAAAAGGAAAGGAGATGGGGTGGAAGACTGATAAACACCATAAGACTGAGAGGCTATAAAGGCTGTTGATTATGAAAAGGTTATTTTGTGCCATCAAATTGAAGTTCTAGCAAAAATAAAAACAACACAGAAAAACGCTGTCTGTCATTCTAGAGTGGCTCTTATTATGTATATTCTTTTAAAGTTAGTTTTTTAAAGGCAATGCTTGACCAGCACTTCCAGCCCATTAAGCACATCTTTCTGAAAGAGAGCCTGCACTAATACCATGTCCATTTTCAGGAGCTTTGTAAAATGATCAAGTACAAAAACTGCTTACCTAACTTGAGGTTGGGGTTGCTGTGAGTTTAATGCCTCTATTCTCCCTTGCTACACAAATACAAACATTTTGGGCAGGTACTTTCCATTGTTCATCTCTTGACCCTCCAGGGCTATGCATCTTTATAAAAGCCATGTTCAACTTCAGCTGCCTTTTGTTCAGGCATCTGTACAAAGTTTTGGGGGTTTGGGATGTTGGGTACGTGGCAATCCCTGCCATGCCCGATTCTAAACCCGGTTGTCAACACAGTCTGTGTGTGCTGCTTTCTTTATTCGTGCCTGTCATAATCACTGAGAATAGAGACTGCACAGACAAGTAACATCCAGGTTATGTGTTGAGTGATGTCTTTACATGCCAGTGCCATTCTTGTCCTGCTGCAGATACCGAGTGGCAATCTGGGTATGTTTGGCAATAGCGGAGCAGCACAAGCCAGGACCATGCAACAGCCGCAGCAACCGCCAGTGCAACCTCTTAATTCATCCCAGCCTAGTCTTCGTGCTCAAGTGCCTCAGTTTCTATCCCCTCAGGTTAGATTTCCACTCATAAGTTTTGCCTTTCCCTAGAACTCTTCCATACTCTCCTCTCCTGAGGTTTGCAGCCACTGCTGCCTGGCTGTGTCCCTGTTATCTATTTACATGTTGCATGGCTGAGATGGTCTCACATTATGTACATTACTTGTGAGGGCACATCATTGAGTCCCTTTTTGCAAACAGTGGTGTTTCTGAGCAGTTTGTTTTCATCTCTTTTTCTGCTAATGAACTTTTGAGTATGGTTATTAAGATAACCTTGCTAATTTTTGGATAGTTCACAGTACCACTTCGGGTAATAGTAATATATTCCAGCTGAAGTTTTGTGGCTCTTATGAATGGCTCACACAGTTGTCACTGTTAAAAGCGAACATACAATGTTTAATACACTGCTCTTCCTTAGGTTCAAGCACAGCTTTTGCAGTTTGCAGCAAAAAACATTGGTCTCAGCCCTGCACAGTTAACCTCGCCAATTAATAATCCTCAGCATATGACGATGTTGAACCAGCTCTATCAGCTGCAGCTGGTAAGTTAAAAGACATGGGAAATAAGCTCTAAATCAGAATTGAAGGCATGAAGATAAAATGGGGAACTGCTATCTGAATTTTTAAATGACATGACAGATCTTCAAAACAATCAGATCCTGATTTCTTTGGTAGAGTTTCTTTTTAAAGAAACAAAATCATATTTTTTGCCTCAGGCTTTATAAATAGTCATTTGTGGAATAATTATCCTTTACAGCTGATCAGTGGAACTAAAAGTCAGTTGTCTTCCTACTGCTATGAGTAACAGTGTATTCTAAAACAGCACTGATGTGCATGTTACATGTCAATATGGACCACTGACTGACCAGCTCAGAGGTGTGTCACAACACAACCAGAGAAATCTTGGCAGTGCTGGTCACCTGAGTTACCTGCAGAACTTCTTTCATTTGCCTCATTAAAACATAAGGTGTAGGGCAAATTTCCTTTAATTAATGGAATTAATGGTATATTAAAAATACCATATATTAAGAACTACTTATTTTTTGCAAACATGTTCTTTTGCTGTTGTGTGCAAATTTTGTATGTATATATCTGTGTGCATATGAAAATGTTGAATTGGATTTTAAGATTATTTTAAAAGAGATACTGCGAAGTCTGTATTTGCCAGGGTTAAACATAAAATTGAGGATGACAAACTAGCTGAGTTGCTGCTCTCAATGTGCTAGAGAAACTGTTCTGTTAGTAACAGTGTTTGATACTATTATTCATTTCTCGTTAGGTTTTGAGGAGCACAGCATTATTGTCATAATAATTTAACAGTACCCAGCTACTTGAAAAATATCTGTATGGAATTCCTTTGGATTTTGAATTCATGTGTTTCAGAGAAACACCTTGCAGATCAGTTTGCTGCCAAGCTAACCATTTTAAAATCGTGGATTTTTTTCAGGAATAAAGCAGAAAAAGCAATTTAACTACAGTGTTGTCAGAACTAAAAAAAAAAAAAAAAAAAAGAAACAACAAACCACAAACACAAAAATGAACACTGGACAAAAATAAATATATTATAAAATACATTTGTGACAAGGTTGTTACTTTTGCTTCATTGACTGTTTTCAGAGAACTCCAGTGTTTGTCTTTTCTATTTCATGATGTACCAGAGCAGCTCAAGCAAGCATGTTCAGCCTGTTGTGTGTGTTGGGGCTCTGACCTCTCCCTTGTCTCTCCAGGCGTACCAACGTTTACAAATCCAGCAGCAGATGTTACAGGCTCAGCGTAATGTTTCCGGACCCATGAGACAACAGGAGCAGCAAGTATGTTTGCCTGCCAGCCCAATCTCTGCATTACTTTGGTTTCAATAGCTTAAAAAGACCTAATGACATTATACCAAAGCAGCTAAAGCATCCTTAAAACAGGAGTGCAGTGCGTGACAGCAAAGGGTGCTGAGTGTTAAAGCTGTTTCACAGCGTTATTGGAGGAAAGCTCTTCACCCCTTAATACAGTCAATTTTTATTTGTAAAGTGATCTATTGTGTTATTTCACTGCAGAGAAAGAAATCTGGTGTCTTTTTGTTCCATTGAGCATTTATTGATTCTCTCTCCTGCAGGTTGCACGTACAATCAATAACATGCAGCAGCAGATCCAGCAGCACCAGCGCCAGCTGGCCCAGGCCCTGCTTATGAAGCAGCAGCCTCCCCCTCCACATCTATCTTTGCACCCCTCTGCAGGCAAATCAGCCATGGATAGCTTTTCACCCCATCCCCAGGCTCCCGGCCTACCTGACCTGCAGACCAAAGAGCAACAGTCTTCACCGAACACCTTTGCTCCTTACCCTCTTGGTGAGTGTCCTCCCTGCAGCAGGTCCACATGGAAAACACAGAGGGAGTCTATATTTCCTTAACTCAGCATCTAAATATTTTGCTCCGCAGTGTAACAAATATAAATACATAAATATATATGTTTATGAAATAACATTGAAATGCCAAAACAAAATCATGGCACCACATGCCTGTGTTTTGGCTGTGTTTGAGGTTTGTGGTAGCTGTGTTTGCTCACCTGTGTTCTGCCTACAAATAACCAGAACACAAAATTCGCCTAATTAACTATTCACTTATGTTGCTGTTTATGAACTAAGTGTAAATTAACAGCATCATGTTGTAAAATGCACAAATGTCATATCGATAAACAGGAATATCATCTGGGAAAGTCATGGAAAGTCATCTTTCCACTGTAATCAGCACTGGTAAGGCATCAATTTTGGTCAGTGTATTTCAAGAAATAAATGGATCAGAGTGTAGGGGAGGTGATTAGATGTTTCAAAAACACAACTGCTAAGGAAAAAATGAAATCCTCTGCTCACTATAGTCTAAAGAGGATTTCAGACATATGCAAGAATCCTCAAAAATGTAAAAGAGAGCTGTGAATAATTTTTCTTGCATGTGGCTAATGCAAGAGGTAATAAACTTTTGTTGCCTAAAAGGAGAACTAGCTAAACATAAGGATCACTTGGTTGCTTTAAGCAAAGTAGAGTGTTGGAATGAATTATCTGGGAAGTTCCTAAAATCTTCTTCAACAGCCATTCTCTGGTAGATTAGACATAGATCTGTCAAATATGATTGATGTCAAAATAATCGATTGGGCCTGGAGACAGGCAGAACAGAGCAACCTTTCAGACCTGTGTGATTGTTTGAAGTATGCTACAGACTTCCTTTATGACATAAAGGAATTAATTTAATCTCTTTGTGACTCTCTTTATGCTGGGTACAATAGAATTGCCAAGCTTTATCTGCCATGCAGCAGTTAAGAAGGTAATTCTGACTGCTGTGGTGAGCTGTTATGGCAGGGAGCATCAGAAGGCAAAAGAATTTGTGAATTAAAGGCCTAAGTCTAAGAGGCTCTTATGAATTCTCAGCTTCCTGTGATCTGCTAACATTCAGGATTATATATCAAAAAAGACCCAGATTCGTGTCACAGGAGCATGTCAAAATTATTCCCTAAATAACAGTGTGAGTCTGTTCTGTGTATACAAAACACAAGCCCAACTAGTAAAATACCTGCTCTGATGAACAGCCGTTGTTTGGTCTTTAATTGGTTGCTCTGTTTGGGATTTTTAAAATGTTGTTAGCAAAATGAAGTGGCAGACATCATGAGGGTGTGCTGGGGAGACATTGGGAATATTTTGGTGTAGCCATGGAATGCTGCAAACTCTTCACTGGTTTAAACATAACATTCCAGTGCATTCTTCCAGAATGCCTTTCCTGAGACAAGTGAGGAGACTGTAAGTAGAAACACAGACAGCTTTAATATATTATCCCTACATCTTTTTTTCCCCTCCTTTTTAGCAAAGTTTTAACATTTTCTGAATTCATGGGAGATGTTTTGGTGTTCCCATAAAATCAAATGTTCTTGACAGCAGGTTGAAAAGGTGCATTGTAAGTGACACATATACACACATGGGTGTTCAGTAATTCCTGTAGCAGGGTTTTTAAACACCTCTTTTAATTATATGATGGATATCTAATGACCTGTTTCCCCTCAGCTGGACTGAACCCGAACATGAATGTAAATAACATGGACATTACTGGTGGTTTGTCAGTGAAGGACACTTCTCAGTCCCAGTCTCGCCTTCCTCAGTGGACACACCCCAACTCAATGGATAATCTGTCTAGTGCTGCTTCTTCTCTTGACCAGAACTCCAGCAAGCACGGTATGTCCCCTGTAATCCCTGTGTCAGTCTGGTTTTTTGGGATTTGAGCCACGGTGTAATTGTAATAATTTTTCTCATGTTACTTCCTTGTGTAAGTGCTCATAAATGGTTGGTACCGAACACCTTTTGAGCCCGTGAGATTTTATAGATGATTTCTGCAGTCACATTCAGCAGTGCATTGAAGTGCCTGCGGCTCTCACTTCCTACATGCAATGTAGAAATGGTCTTTTCATTTGTTGAATTTTGTTCTTAAGAACATGGAGTTCAAATAAAACAACCCTTTAGTGTCGGCAAAACAAGTTCCACAACCTTCCCCTTATTCCAGACCTGTATACCTTCAATCCTAAAAAACTTTACATGGGCTTTCTCCCACAATTTTTCCAATATCATCAACCTTTCCCAGCCAATACTGTACAAAGGCACGATGGATTGCATAGTTACCCACCCTGGAGTTAGGAGCACAGACTTCTTATTTTTCCCAAAGTGATTGCTAATCTGTTTAAACACCTTTATCCCTAACACCTCCAGTATCCTGAGTCAGTTATTCCTTTATTTCCTGTACCGAGTTTATTCTGTTGGAACATGGGGCTCTGTTAACTTTAATATATCCTGGATTTTATTATGAGCAGCATGAATTATTCCTTCTGTGACAAGTTTTTTATTGTGAAAGTAGCTGCACTGCTTATGCCAAATTGTTGTTTGATAGTTTGTAGGAACACGAGAACAATTTCAAGTCATCCATCCCATCAGCAATGAATGCCTTGGGAGGGATGAGATAAGGGGTTGCCTACAGTGCTATTCCTCAGTGTGCTGTTGCAGCAACTTCCTATTTACCATCAGTGTAATGGTTTGAATTACTTAAGTCTCTTTTTGGCAGGAATTTAATGCAAATTTCTTAAACTTGAGTCTAGATTGTACCAGCAGCTCATCTCACAGCTGTAGTCCCTAGTAAGGCTTCAGAGGCTCTTAAGCCTGGCTTACTGTGTTTGTATTTTAGTTTTCTTTTTTACCTTTGTAATACCAAAAATAATAATAATAAAAAAAAATAATAACAAAATATAGGGACCGATGAAATTCCATCCCCCAAATTAGTCCTGCTCCTAAACAAAGCCTTTCCATCTCATTCCTTACAGGTGCTATACCTGGAGGTTTAAGTATTGGTCCTCCAGGAAAGTCCTCCATTGATGACTCCTATGGCCGGTATGATCTGATTCAGAACAGTGAGTCTCCTGCCAGCCCACCCGTAGCTGTTCCTCACAGCTGGTCACGTGCCAAATCCGATAGTGATAAGATTTCCAATGGCTCCAGCATAAACTGGCCACCAGGTAACAAAACACAAAGCCTTGGTGTTGAGCTGATGTCCTTAAAATGTACTGTTGGGTTGATTTATTGCATCCTTCTGATGCACGGGGACTTCAGAGAATTGTGACCTTATACCCTTCTCTTTTCTGTTGTATTTGGAACAGAGTTTCATCCAGGAGTGCCATGGAAAGGACTGCAGAATATTGATCCTGAAAATGACCCCGATGTTACTCCTGGAAGTGTTCCAACTGGGCCTACCATAAACACCACGATACAGGATGTTAATCGCTATCTCCTCAAGAGTGGAGGTAAACACACAAGTTACTTTCACATCTGTGCATTCTCTCTTCTTCTCTCAAAAAATGTTGACCTCATTTGTTACAGATACAGCATATTTTTGCATGTACTCCTAATCTAATAGTGCTTCTGCTCAGAACTTTCACTGAATATCGAGAAATACTTGTTTTAATTATGGGATTAAGAAGTTTCTTGTTTTCCATGGGAACGTAAATATTTTTCTGTTGGAAAAGGCTGTGAGATGTAATTTAAACTTCTGTGGTCACTGGAAGTTTTCCCCAACCTGTAACACTTGATTTTCAACGAGATTTTGCTCTCCACACTGCCCACCCTCCTACTTACACTGTGAAATGCTAAGAAGACACAGTACAAAAGTTCCACAGTTGTTGCTGAGGCAGCAGGCTTCTGGCACACTAATTAATTGTAGCTTTGTTGGAAGATCAATCAGCAAAATAAATTAGGGCTGTTTTATCCCCAAAACCATAAAAGAAAAGAAAAAAATAATGGAATTGACTAGTAAACTACTATTTCCCAGTGTCATTTCCATTCCTTTTGTCTTGGCAGTGCTTACTTCAGAATAAAAAGAGAATTCTATAAAACAATCAAGCATTGGGACTTGTTAGCTAGATGTACTGGAAGTGGATCAAAAGGAAAGGTGGCTTGGTTTAATTGTGATCAGGGTGCTGAAATAGCCAAGTCATCTGCAGTCTATTAGAGCACTGTAATAGGCACAGAAATAGCACAATCAGGTTGTCCAGCAGGATCTGTCAGGATTAAAAATGTGGATTTTGTTCTAATAGTTACATCTGTGATATCAGCACAGATTGTAAATCAGAACTATCCTTGAAATGAGTGTCCGGCTCTGGGCTTGTTAATTCAGCGAGGGATGTGAAACGTGAGGGAAAGGAGGCAGGGGTTTCATTGCCTCCAGCCCTTTGAGTGGTCTCTTGCCAGGAAGCAATCTTTATTTATGCTGAAGGACAGAGTATTTGTGTGCATGAATAATGTTGAATTAACTTTCAATGGCCCAAGTGTGCTTCAAGGGGCAGGCAAGTTTGAAGTTATAAAAAGTATAAAGATGTAATTCAGTGACAGCTCAAATACAGTGCACCCAAGAAACACTCTCTTCAGGCCAAAAGCCTAAACCTACAGAGCTGTACCTGTAAGTCAGATGATACCTAATACAGGCCTTCCTGTTTTAGAGAAGGAACACTGGCTCTGCTGGTGTGTAATCTGCTGGTGGAATGAAGAAATAATTTGCTTCTTGGAGAGGGTCAGCAGAGATGGTCTTTGCAGAAGTAAAGAGGCCCGAAGGAACTCAAGCCTTCTGCAGAGCAGGGACTGTTGGGGTCCTTGTGTGCTTCCTTTCCTCATGAGATTTTTAGTTTGGTAATATAATACTAATAAAAATATAGTTCAGAATCTGTTTCTTTATGCTCATATAACCTAGGGGTTTGCTCTTAGGTAAAATCGCTTGTTGCTGTCAGTACCCATCCATATGAGACTGTGGCTTTCATGGGAAGAGCCTGTCTTTGAACACTGCAGCCTAAAGCACACAGCTTGTATTGACAGAGCTGATCCCCATTTAGAGGGTTAGGCTGTGGTGTGCCCTTGAAAGGCAAAACCCAAGCTTTTGGGTTGGTTTTTGCTTTGCCCTCTTTGCTAATGAAGCTTTGCAGGGTCAGGTACTATGAGCTGAGAGACATAGCCACAAGGAATCAGGACCAGTGTCAGCTCTGTAGGCTTTTGAATCTGCTATAATTCCATCACTCCTGCCTAGGGAATAGATTATTTCCAGAGAAGGCCTGATAACAGAGTTATTCTGCTTGAAACTTGATGTCTGTATTGGTGTCCTGTGGAGTGCAGGGAGTGTGGTGAAGGTAAAGTTTGGTGGGTTGCTGTTCCAGTTGAACAGACAGCCTTTGTTTTTTACTGAGCTGTGAGGGATGAGTTTGTCCTTTTACTTCCTCCTTTCTCCCTCAGTACAGTGCTCTTTTCTAAAGAACTCACCTATTTTTATTAGTCAGTTAAAGATGTTTCAGTATCACAGTCCATCTACGTGTGACAGGAATGATAAGTCACCCGGGATACACATTTGATTTTGTTGGTGGCTGGAGAGAATACTTCCAGCTCTTCTGGTCTTTGTAATGAAGATTTTTTTTATTTTATGTTCAGTTTCTTTCATTTGCTGCCAGCAAGGAAATGTATTCTTAGATAGCTCCTCAGATTGTAAATGATTTACTGAGGTAGTTTCAGGCTATTTCATTTATGTTATCAGTTGAAGAAGAGATTGCTAAAATATATCCTTACTTTACTGAAAGTCTGCAAAAATTTAAAGATGTTTGTGGGCATTAGGATGTAGGGGAAGTACTTACCTTGAGTAATTTAGGACAGATCACCCATGGTAAGAGGTTAGTTTATCATATGCATCTCTGCTCATCTACAGTTGCCATTACCTAAGTCAGCTGGCAGAGGACCTTGATAAATGAAGCCTGTTCCTTGAGACTAAACAGTTGAACACTAATTTTTTTGAGTCACATATCTTAAAGGAAACGCAGAATTTGCCTCCCTCACAGGCAGTACTCCAACTGCTACTGTGCCAGCTTTCTTCTCTTTTCTACCAAAGACTTCTGCTTCACTGTAACACACCTTCAATAACATTTCATCCCTAGCCTTCAGAGACCAGGCTGATTAAGGAGAAATGCCTTTGCATGGTTTGTATTTGCACATAACAGATTTGCTTATGTCACACCAAACATCATTGTGCCCATCTTTCTTAGTTGCTTCTCTGCTGGTTCTGCAGGGTCATCCCCAACATCATCTCAGAATGCCACGCTGCCTTCATCGAGTGCCTGGCCGCTTAGTGCCTCCGGCTACAGTAGCTCTTTCAGCAGCATTGCATCTGCACCTAGCATTGCAGGTACGGAACTGGCCTTTCTACTTCCACATCCTTCTGCATTCTCAGCAAAAGGCCCTAGGAAGTGCTTTCCCAGTGGTTACAGCACTGCTGCCAGAGACAGAGGCGTGTTCTCAGTGCTGTGCTCGGCGGGCAGCTCTCCCGGCAGCCCTTCAGCGGGGAGCGTTGGAGAGTGTGCCTGGAACTGTGCTCAGGAAAAATGGGTTTATTCCATTTGGTGCCATGTGCTGTCACTCTGTATTGGCATCGAGATCTCTGAGGAGGAATGTTGTCTAGGACCTCAGCAGGAACACCCCTGCTAGACACTTCCAGAAAGAGCTGATGAGAAATTTTTGTTACTAAACCCACTCTTAAAAGTGAAACATCTTCAGCTCAGGAAAAGCTTTAGTAGTACCTCCGGGACTTAACTTTGCATGGCTCTGGAGGGGTCGGGTTTCTTGGGGCTCTTAAATGTCTTTAATAGCCAAGCCAAAGCCTGATGCTGCCCTGTATGACTTGAGCTTGTAAGTGGACTAAATAACTGCCCCGTTCTTTTTAATGAGCTCTGAATTCTGGAGTGTATCTCTGCAAAACATGGCAACTTTGCTTGCAAACTATCTATCTAAATATCCAATTTGTCCCATTATAAAAATGTGTTGGGGCTGTTGTGTGGATTGGATTAGCATTTTCACATTTAACCACTAAAAACCCTCCACTTCTCTGGGTGATGGAAGGTGCAGCCTCCAGGTCATACTGCAGAATGCGAAACAAAAAGGGGTTGTTTGGAATGTTTTCCTCCAGTGAAAGGAAAAGAAAGGAATGGCTTGCCTTTCTTTATCTGCCATGCATTTCTGCTTTATTTGCTTCTTATATTTTTGCAGTGCCATCTAATGTTTGTGTTACCCCCATGAGAAGTAGTGACATAGCAACATCTGGTCTGTGGTGATGTGCATGTGTTGTGTGCCACATCACAGGCTGGGCTACTCTGAGTTCTCCAACTCAGACTTGCTCCCTTCCCTCACACCATTTTACACTCATTAATGTCCTCATCATCATTGTCAAGTTGTTCTTGTTGCTACAGTTTGCAAGAAGATGGGAGAGTGGTTGCCCTTTCACTTGAATTGTTATGATTCAATATAAAATCATTGAGTTAAACGATTTAGATAAATGGAGGCAATCTGGGGAGAGTGGGTGTGTATATAACTGAGGCTGTGCCTTTGCAACTGGTAAATTTGGCTTTAGGATTGATAAAAAAACCCTCAGTGGCTGCCTTGTTGCAAAGCACTGATCCAGTATAAACTTAAATCTGCCAGTTCAAATCTAGTCTTGTAAAAACCCACAAGATTTTTGCATCTTAGACTTTGTCAGACCAAGTATTTTCTTATTCTCTGCAATCAGCATTAAAGCACTAAGGCAGCACAGTCACAACATCATTTGCTGTGGCAGAAGATGCAGGATGTGTCCCTTTCAGTCCATTCCAGTCCAACACGTGCTGCCAGTGTTGGTAACAGCAGGACTGTGCTGTGACAAGGGAATTGGGCTCTGATTGCACAACACGTGTTGGTACAAGAAGGAAAGGCAGGGAGGTGTAACTCTTAAGGTGAATAAAGAGGTTTATTTTGGTACCCGTATTTTAAATCAATTTTGTCTGCCTCTCTAAATGCTAAACTGTATTTGCTATTGTTGCTTTTGTGTTATTTTATTGAACTCTGATTTGGCAGGAACGGTAGTCAGAGTTTAAAAACTGATTAGGGAAATAACAAACTGAACAGCAAAAAGTTACCAAGAGTGACAGGTTGTGATATGATTTGAACTTCTGCAGACTTCATTTTTCTCAAAGATACTTGGAAAAAAGAGTATCAGTTACTTTGAATATTAAGAAATAAAGTTTTCATTGGTTTTTGATCTTTAGAATTTCAATAATATGTCAGAAGAACATATGGATATACTGGTTTCTTTGTTAGATAAAATGAGTTGTTAAAAAAAAAGTTTATAAGTCCTATTAAACCTTTGAGAGAGACAATCTTGAAGCGTTTCATTATAATTTTGGTGCAATTAGATTTCAAATACCTAAGTCCATTTTCTGGCCTTTTTTTCGTGTATCATCTTTAAAAAGAAAGAGAAGTAGCAGGAGATTTTAAAGAGGGAACTGTGTACATAGCAGGTGTTCATTAAATACAAAATTTTTTGAAAATGTAAACACTAGTAGGTTCAAAGGATATAGGATTGATAGCACTGGATGGTACAGAAGGTTGTTGTTGTTTTCCTCCTGAAAAGTTGGAGGAATGGAGTCAATGATACCCTTCCTACTGGATGTTTAAAATTAAGAATGCACAAATGGTTTTTTTTCCTGTTGCAGGTAAACTGTCAGACATCAAGTCCACGTGGTCCTCTGGCCCGATCTCTCACACACAAGCCTCTCTGTCCCACGAACTCTGGAAGGTACCCAGAAACACTACGGCTCCGACGAGACCCCCTCCAGGCTTAACCAACACCAAGCCATCATCCACGTGGGGAGCCAGTCCCCTGGGCTGGACCAGCTCTTACTCCTCTGGTACCCACAGCTTCTCTGCTTTCTAACACCTGCTTTTATTCTGTGTATTGGGCTCCAGAATCTGGAGGTTCAGTGCAAGCAGAGTTGTGTCTCTTTTGGGGATTAATCTCGTGTCTATTTATTTCACTTTGGCTAAGTTGTAAATGGAGCTGCTGTCTTTCAGGTGGTCACATGAGTAATTCTGTACAGGAATTGCCAAATTATTTACTCCAACTGGGATTTTTTTTCCCATTTCTTTATTTTCTAAAAATGCCTTTCTAGTTTTGTGGTATGATCTAAAACTCCCTACGAGGCTTCAACATCAGCTCATGGAATTTAATATGGGATACATATTTGGAGCATGGATGTGAAGCATTTAGGACCTGATGGCATTGCAGGGCCCTCAGGGAATGCCTTAATTTTTTTCACACAGACTCTTATTTTAGATGTTGTTTTGCTTAAATGCAAATATGAGAAACCATGGCTGTATATATATATATATATATACACATATATATATATACATATATATATGTATGTATGTATATTTGGCTCTCTATATAGAGATATCTGTATAAGTATAGATATATATGCAAGTATTACACCTATTTTATAAAGCTGGCTATTTTATTAATCTGCTTTCACTAAGCTGAGAATTAAATGTTTTTCCCTTTTTTGGCATTAATTTTGGATCTGTTTCCTTCACCAAAGCCCCACCTGTGGGGGCAGATATTGCTGCTGCCCAGATTCTCTCCAACCTGAGTGTGGTCACATGTGTGACCACAGGATCCACTGGGGTTTCTCAAATGCCACTCATAAATACCAAACTTGGACAGTTTCTTAATGCAAAACTCCAAGCTGTAAAACACCAGGCTGAGGTTGGAAGAGCAGGTTTTGTTGGTTATGTCCTTGTATCTTCAATCAGGACATTGTCAGTGCAGAAATACCTGTTTTGAATAAGTCATGTACATTAATCTGTCATTGGCAAGATAGCAGAGTGCTGCAGTGCTATAAAATCTTTAATAGCAGGCAGCAGCCTGAGCTTGGACATCAGAATTGCTTTTAAAATGTGCCTTCCAGATTAATTCTAATGTATCCTGGAGATCCAGTTTGCTGCAGTGTCATACCTGCATCTGCCAGTTTCCTGATAGTTACTCTGGGAGTGTGGAAAAAGCCACAGACCTTTTAAATGTAACAAGAGGAGGTTTTCATTCAGCAACCTTTCATTCCAGAGGAGACAGTAAATCAGGGTGTGAGGAAATGGGATTTGTTTTCAGTAGCAGTAAGGCTTGCTAATGTATTGTGATTCCAGAAAAATTTGCTTGTAATATGCTCTCCAGACCACGATCAGTGGTTTTTATTTGTGGAATTTTATTGCAGGTTCTGCATGGAGTACTGACAGCTCAGGGAGAACAAGCAGCTGGCTGGTTCTTCGGAACCTCACCCCCCAGGTAACTGGAATTGTGCTTAACTGGTTAGGGAAAAAGACCTGGTACATTTAAGGGATTATAAGAACAACACTTAGCAGCCTTGGTTATTTGAATTATTTGAAGGAAGAATAATTACTCTGCATTTGTTACAGGTGTCTTCTTCAGGGAATTTGTTAGGTTTTCAAAGTGCTGTCAAATCAAGTATAAACTTTTAAGGCTGTAATTAGTCATTCAGTGGGCACCATTTGTGTATGTGTAAGTTTGGAGGTGAATGGTGCTTTAAAGCAGGCACAGAAATGTAAAGTCTGCTTTTCCTGTGGGTTTTTTTTGGTTCTTCTCACAAGTCTGTTAAATCCTCTACTTGTCCTTCACACAGTGTCATTGAGAAGGAAGAATATAACCCACAAAGCCTTGAATGCAGACATCCAAACTGATCTTGGGGAAAATTTAGTTATATTTATGAACAATGTGTTTTTCCTTTGACTTCTTTCTCAACTTCTGTGGACTTTCCATGATAAATATAATTTATATGACCTAAACTGGGAAATTTTGTGCGCTGGACTATAGGGAAGTCTTAAGAAAAGACAGGATGTCTCCCTCATGCAGAGAGTGCTAAGTCTGTAATTAAATTCTTCTTTTTTTCCTTTCACTTGTACTCACTCTTTAGCTTTTAAAACTTGCTTAACAAACATTTAAAGTAATATCACAATAGCACAGACAACCTTTGCCCCCTTCTCTCCCCAGATTGATGGTTCCACACTGCGGACACTGTGTTTGCAACACGGCCCTCTCATAACATTCCACTTGAACCTGACACAAGGGAATGCTGTGGTCCGATACAGTTCCAAGGAGGAAGCAGCCAAGGCCCAAAAGTCTCTGCACATGTATGTTTCTGCTCTCTTTTTCTTTGGTTATTAAGCCAGGTTTATCTCAGAAACTCATTTCTTAGGCATTTATTTGTCAGAACTCAGATCGTTAGTTACTTTATTCTGATTTTCAAAATTACCTGAATGAGATAGAGAAAAATTAGCTGGGGGATAGATACTCATGTACTACTGAATAAGAGGTCATTACAAAACTTTATTCACCATTAATAATGTTTTCAGTTAGGATTTGTCACCTGTAAGGCTGCAAAGAGTTTGTAAGGTGTGATAAGGATTCCAGAAGAAGCTCAGAGGGAGGGACAAGGTTTTAGCTTTAGAGAGCAACAGAAAGGACATAACGATGATAAATTAAGAATGTGTTCATGGTGGTCACCTTTTTTAAAGGAGTTATGAGAGAAGTGTATGACAACAAAATGTGGGGTTTAGGAGTTTTAAAACCCATGGGATTAATCGGCATAAAAGCGGGAGGAGAATCTGAGTGATGAAATCAGTGAATCAGGGAGGATGAAGAATGCAAAGACTGATGTTTCAGGAGAATACTTGGGTGCTTAGTGTTGGAAAGTAGTTTTCCTCATGAACAGGTTATAGCATGAGTATAATGAAAGTATTGAGGTAGCAGAAACAGCAGTTTGCTGTGGGTTTTTATCCTTATACCTAAAGAGAGTCCGGGCTCCCAGGATGTGTCAGTTGAAGGAGGTGATCTCCACACATATGGCTTTGGGTGTTTGCCTGTTGGTGCAGAAAGGTGGACAGAAAACAGGATAGAGAAGGCTTTGTCAAAGAGGCAGTGATTGGTCAAAATGAGTGTGTGTGTTATAAATCTACACCTCAGTTTCAGCTTGGAGTTAGATGGATCTGTGTCACAGAATCGTAGAATTGCCTGGGTTGGAAAGGAACTTAAAAGACCATCTTGTTCCACCCCCTGCCATGGGCAGGGACACCTTCCACTAGCCAGGTTGCTCCAAGCCCCATCCAAGCTGGCCTTGGTCACTTCAGGGATGGGGCAGCCACAGCTTCTCTGGGCAACCTGTGCCAGGGCCTCACCACCCTCACAAGGAAGAATTTTTCCTAATAGCTAATCTGTAAGATAGAAAAAGCCATTCCCCTTTTCCTGTCACTTCAGGCCCTTGTAAAGAGTCTCTCTCCCTGTTTCTTGTAGCTACTTCAGGTACTGGAAGGCAGCAGTTAGGTCACCCCAAAGCTGACCAGCTGAACAACCTTCAGGCTGAACAACCCCAGTTCTCCCAGCCTTTCCTCACAGGGCATCCATCTAGGGTATTCCCAGAAGTGCCTTTTGCACCCCTCGCCTCACATCGTTCCGCCTTTTTTTGTTTGTGCCCTCAGGTGTGTCCTGGGAAACACTACCATCCTGGCCGAGTTTGCTGGTGAGGAAGAAGTGAACCGTTTCCTCGCGCAGGGCCAGGCGCTGCCGCCCACCTCCAGCTGGCAGTCCAACACTGGATCCACCCAGACCCGCCTGGGCTCCTCCGGCAGCTCCCACGGCCTGGTGCGCCCCGACACCGGCCACTGGAACCCCCCCTGCCTGGGGGGCAAGGGCAGCAGCGACCTGCTGTGGGGGGGGGTCCCCCAGTACTCCAGCAGCCTTTGGGGACCCCCCAGCGCCGACGACGGCAGAGTCATCGGGAGCCCCACGCCTCTGAATACTCTTCTCCCGGGGGATCTTCTCAGTGGGGAGTCCATCTAGGAAACGAGAGAGAAAACAAAATGGAAATAACAATCATCAGCACTAAAGGAAAAAAAATTTAAAAAAAAAATTAAAAAAAAAAAATTGTAACCCTTTCCAGTCCCGGGCTCGATGAAGAATCCAGCTTTAACCCATGAGACTGGCAGCCCTCCTTAGTACCTCTGTCCAATATCGAATCCGAAACTGCAGAAGTCCTTGTGAACTGTTCCTGAAACAGTATGGGCTCCTTTTGGTCAGTGTCACATGCTAATGACAGGTTTTATTGGTTGTTTTTTTTTTTCATGGCTTTTTTTGTTTTATGTTGTCTTTTTATGTTTGTATGGTGATTTTTATTTTTTTTTTTTCAAAACCAAGTATAAAAGCTGCTTAGGATAGGTCTATCATGAAGGGCACTTTTCAGAATTTGGGCTGGAAAGGGTTATTTTATCAACTTGGGGAGGGGTGGGAAGGGGAAATGAAAGCCTATTTAAATGAGCCTGTGACTATTATGCACATTACAGAGGCGGACCCAATAATCAGAAAGGGTGAAGTGTGATATTTACCATTGGTACAGAAAAGTGACGAATCCAAGTGGGAACTATGGACTGTACAGGTTGAGTGGGGGGGAGGGAGGGCAGGGTTGGGGTATCTCTGTGTCCACTACTCCCATGGATCTGCCTATGCACATTGCCCTTGTTTCATTACTTTTTCATGTCATTTTTTTTAATCCCAAAAATATAAAAAAAGAAAAAAAGTAAAAAAAAAAATCAACAAAGAAACAAAAAAAAATTAAAAAAAAAAAAGGCAACAAACCATATCAACATGCAAATACTTGAATCCAGCAGGCCAATAACAAAATGTGAACACTTTCTGAGTTGAATTATTACACTTCCAGGTCAGCATCAGTACACAAAAAACAGGCTCTAAGAATTTTTTTTTAAAAAAGTTCAGACTCTATGTTTTTGTTGGGACAGATGTGAGTGTGCCTGTGCGTGTGTGTGTGTGAGTGTGTGTGTGCCCACGTGCGGTTTAACTCAACGTGTGAAGTTTTTCCTTTTGATTCAGTATATGCTTTTTATTTGCTCATTGGTCAAATGTTTAATTGTTATTAGCTTCTAACTTTGCACTGAGTGTCCGCAGCCCTTCTTGTAGCTAATCCTGTAATGGTAAAAAAAAAAGAAAAAAAAAGGACAAAAAAAAGGAAAAAAAAAAGAAAGAAAAAAAAAGGAAAGAAACTGATAGAAGGGGCCGGCGACAATTCACGTGTAAATGTTTACTCAAGGACTCTTATTGCATTTTAAAAATTACAGTGTGTATCTCTGGAGAATAATATGTATATCTACCTTTAGCGGCTTTTTATTGTGGACTAATGCAAGAAAATTATTACCGGAGTATTGCACCATTTTTCCATTCGGAATATAAAGTTTAAAAAAAAAAATACTCTTGTTGAACTGTGGCCATAGATAATTGTAAAGAGTTGATAGTTCCCTTGCAAGCAGGAACAGAAACAAGCACTTGGACATAAGTTTTGACTGCTTTTGGAGGAGCCAGGAGTTTTGGCTCCCACCTGTTTACAGACCTTTTTTTTCTCTCCTTCAAACTTTAAAATAAAAAAAGGAATTACAAAAAAAAAAAAAAAACAAACACAAAAAAAAAGGAAAAAAAAAAGACTTCCATCGTAAAGAAAACTATTTTCAGAATGAAGATATGCTACTTCAGAGCTCTGGGATTGAACAGTGTTGTTGTATTATCCTTTTCTTTGGCCATTGCTGTGTACTATTTTTGTTGTTGTTTTCCTCCTCTTCGTCAAAGTGGCGAAAACTTTGTGATCACTATCTTGCACATGGTGGAAGATGTCTCAGGAAAGCCGGGTTTCCCGAGGAGCAACTCCACACCATTTCATGTATTTTTAAAACCCAACTCCTAGCACTGAAGATATTATTAAAAAACAAAATAAAATAAAAAAAAAGACAGTAAGAAAGAAGAAAATACCTAATCTAATGTGTAGCAGTTACATATTTACCAAATAATGGACTCAAAAGAAATAGATGTTTGAAGAGTGCTTTATATATTAAAAAATCGCTTTATGTTTAAAAAAAAAGATCAATGTTTTTGATTGTTTTGAAAGGAAGAAAGACAATGGAATAACATACACTTCAAGTATGTTTTAAAAATTATATGAACATTGTGCTCCCTGCCTGCTTGGATCAGGAAACTTGTGCATTACATTTTTTTTTTTTTTTGGAAGATTAGCTTTTTAATGGTTTTATCAGATTTAAAGGGTCCTGCAAGATTGCAAATTAACAAAAGCTGGTTTTATAGAGGATCATGAACTATGCACAAACTGGGTTCAAGACTTGTTTTTTTTTCCTCAAGTTTTAGTAGTGTATTTAGCTGAATAACCTTTCCTCAGAGTAATTGCATCTCATTGCCATTACACGCCTGTTACATATATATTTTATATATATATACACACACACACTTATATAAAATATGTATGTGTGTATGTGCGTGTTTACATACAATTTTCCATGCTGAAGTTTAGCATTGAGTTGTAGAAAAACTCCTGATATTTTCAAATTGGGAATGAAAATTTCTGTTGGCGGGTTAGGGGTGGGTGGGTTTTGTTTTGGGGCTTTTTTTTTCTTTTTTTTTTCTTTTTTTTGCCTTTTCCTTTTGAATTAAAGATGTCTGTAACTCTGAGATTAAAAAGAAAACCAACAATTGTGGCTTTTAATGTTTATTCTCCTCATAGAATGTGATTGTTAAAGAACATGCACCGAAAGTTGCTTTCAAGAGTACGAAGATTCTTTGAAACTTAATAAATTGCAGTTTTTTCTTGGCTGTTGAAATAATGTGTATTTTTCTTTTATGCAGGGGATACTAAAAATATATATATTGTTAAATCTGTTAAGGTATTTCATGAAGAAGTTTAACTCTTTCACTTTGAATGAGGATGACGTGTAAGCCAGGAAAACCCCTCCTGTGGTCGCTCCCTCTGCTTGTTGGTGACACAGTCATGAGCTTGTTCCATGAACGCTTTGCACATCACATCCAAAAGCACTGCAGAACCAGCAGTAACCATTTTTATGTTAAAATTCTGTTTTTATCATTTTTCCATGTCTTCAGTAACGTAGATGACTCGTTAGCCCTTTGAACGCCGCGAGGCTGGAGATGACTGTCCTCCATCATTCCAGAGCCTCCCAGTTTCTGGACCTGGATGTCTCTAAATTGCCAGTGAAATTTTTGAGCTGAGCAAATAGCCCATGAACAGGGTAGGAACACCAAAATATTTTCCTATTTGGCCTTTCAGAATTTGATTTGAGGAAGGTGTTTGCAGTGGGTAACCACTCCAAGGTCCCGTTACCCCCACCATGCCAACCTGAGGCACAGGAGATGAAGGGCCGAGGATTCCTGGGGAGATCCCAATCTTGCTCCACCTCCCTCATCTGAACTTTAGTGTATGTTCTCCTCCCGCCTCCACCAAACCAGTTCCTGACCCTTGGTGGCACTGGGGTAACTGGTGCTGAATGTGCTGTACAGCAGGGCTGGCCCTGGGTCTCAGTAGGTGCGAGTTTGTACTGGTGAAACTCATTCCCCCAGTCCCTTTGAGAAGGAAAAAACTATCATGGACAGCTGGATTAATAAGAAAATGGTTCCCAGTCCTGAACAACCACCTGTGCTGTCACTGCGATTGCCCATAAAACATAATTCCATAAGGAAGACCCGTGGGGCAGGGGGTCCCAAGCAACTTCAGAGTTGCAGTTTGCTGGTGGGTATGATACAGTTTAAAATACCCAAATTTGGCCTTGGGGGTAACTTCTGTTATTGAAACAGCTAAAAAACCCTGTCTGCAGCCTGTTCTGCCGATTTTATTGATCTGGCCTAAAGTTGCACAGCTCTTTTTTACTGTTTTCCTTCCCACCTCCCTATTTTTTAACTCTTCTAGTAGTTTCTAATGTAACTCTTGGAAGAGAGTTTCCTTCTCTTTTCCTTCCTTGGTTCTTTGTTTGGTTTGCATTTCGTTGGGCATTTTTTCCTTGGCAAGGAAGGCTTTTGGTTCTGGTGTCTTTAGGTTTTGTTGCCAAGACATCAAAGTCCCTTATGAAGTTGGATGTTTCAGTCTTCCATGGGGTTGGCAGTGATGGCTTTTTGTAAATCAAATGCACTCTTAATATTTAGCATCCCCCTGGTATATTAAAGGGAATACAGCTTTTGACCAAAATCAAATCTTTTACTGCTGGCATAGCTCTTTATTTTCAGTGTCATTCTTCTGCTTCAGTGCTATTCAGTATTTCTCAAATTGTAAAGAAAGCTCCTGATGATCAGGATTCACCCTGTGGCTCCAGAATCTTTACAAGAAAACATTTTTAACAATTTGTGTTTTTTCTGTATATTGCATTTGCTGTACCCTCCATGGCACCTTCACTGCATGGCTCCCTGTCTTAAGGCCAAGAAAATTCCTGTTTCCTAAGTGATCTGAAACTGTCAAACTTCTTCTTAGTTCCTTGTCTAGTTTGTGGGTGGCACTGGCAGAGCAGATGTTTTCGCTTTTTCTGCTCCAGAAATATATTATTGTTCTTGCTAATTCAATATATGACTGTGTATGTGAAGGAGCTTTTTAATTAAAAAAAAAAAATTGTATATGGATATCTGTATATGTTAAGAATTATTGGAGTTGGAAGAGTCTGGAAATGGAATTGGAAAACCCTTTAGGATTCGGGTTGTGGGCAGCTACAGTGTGGAGCAGATCCAAGCAGATCCAAGGTTGCCGTGGTGATGGATCCTCTGATGCTGTCCACGAACTGCTGCTGAGTCCCCGCTGTCCGGTGCCAGCTGTGCCCCTGTGTCACTGTATTGATGCTGAATGTACAATCTCAAGTCCTGCATAGCCAGTTTCAGGGAAGGGGAGTTCTGGAAAAATGGGATGTGGAGCTCAAAGGAACTCTTGGTGTGAACTGCCCGGATGCCTGGCGTCCGCCGCCTTCCGCAGCGCCCCGAGGGAAACGGCGGCTCCCGAAACGTCTGCAAGTGTCTGTGGCTCCCTTAGCAGGGTCAGAAGGAGATGCCCAGGACGTGTCAGCTCCCTGCAGGTCTCCTGGACTGTCTCACCCAGGTCCTTGTGCCGCTCCCGAGGCGGCGACGTGCCCGTGAAACCTTAACGGCCGCGGGAGCAGCCCGGCTTCTGTCCTCTCACATTCCCCCTCCTTCCCGAGGGGTCTCTTCCAGAAACGTGCTCTTGGAATTCGGGAGAGGCGCCTCCAACACTCATCCACACTGTAGCTTTCCTGAGGGAGGACGGACTAACGTGCCCATGTTCTAGTGGGGTCTAGGTGTCTTCCTCCAGCGGATACACCAATCGCTCAGGTTAACTATTGCTGCAAGTTGCCAGACTCCATCCTCCAGCACCAGTCCAGCCTCTGCAGAGACAGTCCAGCTGACCATCAAATGACCATTTTAACCCCTCATGCTCCACCTGTTTCCTTCTCTCTAATGAAGGTGTTTCATTAGACGTGAATATGACACTTTGTCCTCTGTGTGTGTGCCCCTGGTGTTTGGTTTTTACTGTCCCATGCATTGGAAACGAGTTGCTTGTAAATTTTCTCTTGATGAAAACGTGGTCCCAGTGCAAGTCATGATTTCAGGGTTATTAAAACCATGTTATAAAACACAAAAAGCTGGAAGATTGCTTTGCTTTCAATAAATATGGTTATTGGTAAAGGTGGTTTGCCTTGACCTACCTGTGAGGTGCTGCTCACTCCTGGGGAGAAGTGTGTGGGTGTCCCCATCAGTGCCTCTGTCTGTCCTGAGTTAATATTTATTGCTTTAAATGTTCATTTTGTTCGGGGAATGGTTGTGATAATATTCAAAACTGTGGCAGATTACTCTGTAATTTTTCTGTTGTTCTGTCTCCTGGATCCTTTGCCCACTTCATAATTTTTCTGAATTTCTTAATTTATACCAAAAACATGTATTCAAGCAGGTTACAGACCTCTCTGTGTTACTGATGGTGGTGGAAAGGAGCAGAGTCTCTTTCCATTTTTGCAGTAGGTCTCCTTGTTTTGGCTGCAGTATTCAGGAAGAATAAGTATGTTTTACTGTCTGTACCTCACACGAGCAGAAAAAACATCTTTTCATTATTTTATCTGATTTCAAGAGGGACCCACTTTTTCTGCCTTTTCCTGTCACTTGTCTGTCTCCTTCCCATCTCTTCCCTCCCTACAGA